CCAAAGTCACGTGGTTTGGATCCACCAGTTGCTCTGCAGGAGAAGGATGGGCAGTCTTCTCAATGTGATTTACCGACACTGAAAATCCACTGCAGAGTCAGCCAAGTTGACTCTGACTCCATAGTACATAACAACAACATCATATGTTACAAAATGAAATAAAGGTTGCCTTTTTCAAAAGGGTTAATGACTGGAAGGGGGGCAAGAACAGGGCTCCAAGGGTGGGGGTGGTAGTGGTATTATATGCTGTCAATCTGGGATCACAACTGACATTCCTGAGGGTTTTCAAAGTCAATAAATTACACAGGAGATTGCTCCTGTCCACTGCAGAGCAGCTGGTGGATTCAAACCACTTGTCTTTGGGTTAGTAGTGCATCTGGTCTCTGATGATCATCAAGTGATCATTTACTAAGCAGTAAGTACATTGTGATTTGTCCACTTTCCCGACGAGCTATACGTCAGTAACAACAACAAAAAAGTTTAAGTCTCTAATAAATTTCTATTTTTAAAAAGAAGCTACATGCATAGGAATTAAATTGTCATTAGAGGAAAAGAAACAGTTTCTGAATATGTAAGCAAAACTTCAAGTGGAGACCAAATTTTTCAATGTTAGAAAGTATATTCTTCATCACAGACATTAACCAGATTTACTTTGCACCACAGTTACAATAGAACACATTCATTAATGGAGATACTGTTAGCAATAGTACTGTGGAGTCCTATGTTAACTATTATCATATTGCACTTTTAACACACTGGAAGTGATTCCAAATAAAAGTTTAACCTTACATCACAGCAAATTTTCATTAGAATCCAGGATCTGTTATGTTTACTACTCTTTTTAAAGAGACATTTCAATGACCAGATTGAAGCAGAACCTGTATTTTACATACTTTATCGTTAGGGAAATCTACAACATCAATTGGCTTTAATCATAACCAAAAGCTAACAATATTAGAGCTTCTGGGTGGAGACATCACAGTAATCGTCTGGCCTGTTGCTTCCTAAGCATGTATATAAGACATTGGTTAAAACCACAGCTTCCCTGGTTCTCACTGACTTAATCTGAGTACCGTGCCATGGAATTAGCATTTAACAGCCTCTTCAGATAATTCTGAAAAAGGTAGTATCGAGAGGACACTCTATCAAACTCACTGTCATTGAGTCAAAACCAACTCATAGCTGACCCTCCAGGGGCGTTCAGAGGCTGTAAATTTCATGGGGGATGGTGAAGAGATTGTCCTTATTTTTCTGTCAGAACAGCTGGTAGATTTGAACCACTCACCTTTACATTGGCAGCGTAACTCCCTACTGATTAAGCCACCAAAATCCCTTACAAAAAGCACGAAGCCTCTTACTTTTTAGAGAAATGTAGTGGAGGTCAAGGAGGGACTGAACCTGTCCAGAGTCTACTTTCTGATTAAAAAACACAGAGGGACTAGAAGGTGGTAGAGTTGTGCTGCTAAACTGACCACGCTGGCAGTTCCAACTCACCACTGCTCTGTGAGAGAAAGATGGGCAATCTCCTCCCATGTAATTTACAGCTTCCAAAATACCCACTGGAGGGTCAGCTATGATTTCACTTGACAGCAATAAAACGAATTATGCCACTCCAGTGTAATTTCCATTATTCCATATTACAAAAGCTTAGGACCGAAAATGAAACTGTCCCATTCCTTGACTTACTCAAGAATCCACTTGCCTTTTTACATGCGTATTAGGTTAATTAGAGAGGCACAAACCTATCTGTATAGTCAGTAATTATGCAGAGCCAAGTAACTTCAGAAATCCAGTTTAAAACACACAGTAAGATCCTGAGATTGTATCTGAATCTTCTGTGCCTTGCTTTCTACATCTGTAAAAGAGCAAAAGAATACATTTGCAGGATGCAAAGCACTGTGTAAAATACTGAGGAAATACTACTAGCTTGGCAAATAATGAGAACCCTGTAAACGGTAACTGTTTTTAATGTCATCTTAAAACATGACACTAAAATGCATTTTTTCATCCTACTAGAGGAATGTTCTCAAAGTACAGCCACCTACAATAGAATCACTAGGAAGTGCTTGTTAAAAATTCAGGCTTCTGGAACTATCCCTAGAGCCTTTCTCAAGTTCTAGTTAGTCTGAATCTCTGCAGTGGGACTTAAAAGCCTGATTTTTTAACAATCATGCATTTCTTACACATATAACAATTTAAGAATCACTGAACTAGGAATTGTGAAGACAGTGCTCTTGCCAATGAAAACATGGGTATCAGTGACAGCCAGGTGGTACTGATAATTCTCACTGACGCTAGCAATTGTCTGCTAACAAAAGGTAGGCGAGCGCCACCTACTGCTTCATTTTATAATGCAATGCTGAAACGCTGGCCTTCAAGAATGCATTTTGCCTGGAAAAAATAGATTCTAAACAACATTGCTAAGCACTAGTAAGCATTGTTGGATGGAAAAATGTAAATACCTGTTACTTAACTAGAAAATAACTTTCAAAGTGAAAGCATTTTTTGAGCTTTGGATTCATTTATCTAATACTCACTGTGGGATTTGGAACCGACTCAGCTGACCCTCTAGAGGGTTTTCAGAGGCTGCAAATTGCATGGGAAGAGACTGTCCATCTTTCCCTCAAGGAGTCAGGGTGTATCTGAACCACCAGAGGCACCACCATTGGGTTAGAAATACAACTTCCTATCCACTAGACCATTTTTTGTTGTTATGTGCCATTCAGTCACCTGCAACCCTATCCACAATAGCTCTGAACTCTGCTCTATCTTGAACCAGTTTCATTGTCTCAGTCATTCTGTCAATCCATCTCATCTAGGGTCGTCTTCTCCAATGATGTCCAAGCATATGTTCTTCTCCAGAGACTGGTCCCTCCTGACCAAAGTATATGAGACAGAGCTTCAAAATCCTTGCCTACAAGGAACAGCCTGGTTTCATCCTCTACACGATAAACCTGTCCGTTGTCTTGGCAGTCCTTGGTATGTTCAATAATCTCCTCCAGCTCCACAGCTCAAAGGCATCAATTCTTCTGTCATCCTTGGTCACTGTCTAGCTCTCTGATGCATAACAAGTAATTCCAAAGCCCAAGGCCTATATCAGGCATAGCTTACTCTCCAGACTGACATCATTGCCCTTCAGCACTTTTGAGAGGTCTCTCAAAGGAGACTTCCCCAGAGCAATTTGTCTTTTGATTTCTTAACTGCTGGTACCAAGAGTGTTGACCGTGAAGCCAAGCAAAGTGAAATCTTAACAACCTCAATCTCTTCTCCATCTACGATGGTGCTGCCAATTGTCCCAGTGGTGAGAATCTTTGTCTTCCTGATGTTGAACTTCAAGCAGTACTGAAGACCTGCAGTCCGTGACCTTCTGAAGCAAACGCTTCAGGCCCTCCTGTTTCTGCAAACAAGGTTGTGTCATTTACACAACATAATTTATCTAATAAACTCCCATACTATCAAGTTACTACTAAAACTTCAACATAGATTGCATCATAACATCAAGGGAAAAAAAAATCCTTACCACCACACCAATCAGCAGTATCACAATAGATGGAGAAAAAGACTGAGGTTGCTGATGATTTCATCTTGCTTGGATCCACAAGCAACACTCTAGGCACCAGCAGTGAGGAAATCAAAAGACATACTGTATTGTGTGGGAAAATCTGCTTTCAAGGATTGCTTCAGAGTGCTAAAGAGCAACAGTATCAGTATAGAAACTAAGGTGCACCTGATCCAGCCCACGGTCTTCTCAATCGCTTTCCATGAAACTAAGAACTGGACAATGAAAACGGATGACAGAGGAACCAATGCATTTGTGTTGTAGTGCTGGAGAAGGTTACTGAGCATACCATGACATGCCAAGAGAACAAACAGATCTGTCCTAGAGAGGGTGAAACCTTGAGGGCATGGATTTTGAAGCTCTCTCGCATATACTTTGGGTATGTCACCAGGAGAAAGCAGTCCTTGAAGAGGGACATCATGTTTGAAAGGGTAGTGAATCAACGCAGAAGAGGAAGACTGTGGATGAGATCAGTTGACACAGTAACTGCTGCAGTGGAGTCACGTGTGTCTGAGGTGGTGAGGTTGGCTCAGGATAAGGCAAGACTCAGGGCCATTGTTCACAAGTCGCTTTGGCTCACAGACAACTCGACAGCACATAACAGCAACTAAGATAGTAAAGGATAATAAAATTCTATGATCATTGACCCAGGCCACCAGTGAAATGAAGCTAGGACCATCTAATAATATACTGCAATGAAACAATGTACTGCTATGCTCATCTCCACACCCTGTCCCCAACCTGAGACAAAAACCAAGTGAATTAAGGTGCTGGGTTACTAACCAAAAGGTTAGTGGCTCTAACGGCAAGGTACATCTGAATTGATGCACTTTTTTTTGATGGCAATGTTTCCAAAGGCCACAGCCATAAATACCCTATGGAGGACAGTTCTACCCTGAAGCATAAGGGTTCTAGAAGCTTAACACGTTGCCGCACACGTTTTAAATTGACGACCGTGCTTAGAAACACATTTGCCATCATTTACGGCAACATGTTAAGAGTAGTAAGTGACATAGCAGCAGCTACAAGTGGTGGGCTTTATTCTCTAACATTCTATTCAACTCTAGTGCAAAAGTGCCACCTGCAGGACAGCAGTTTGAAGGTTAGCATTCTCTTTAAAACGTACTCAAGAAAGCCTTCAGAATTATCGTCTGGTTTTTAGATGTAAAGCTTATTTCCTCATCTAAGTTGGCAAATTCATTAAAGTAAACCTAGAGGATGTGTAAAACCTTACAAATAAAAATTTAAATTAAACTACTAGTTATACACCATGTTTCAATAAGTCAGTGACAAATTTTTAAAAATAATTTCATTTTTGTAATTTAATTCTTTTTTT